CGTCGGGGGCCCAGCCGGTACCTGCTGCTGCCTCCCTGGGCCCCATTATCCACTTGGATTCCTCCTGCTGGTTCCCCCCTGCTTTGCTTGGGGCTGAGCTGCGGGGACCCGGTGGGAACAGTCCTGCTTCAACATTTCATCTTGGGGACTTTGTGAGTTGTGTCCCCAACAGGTCGGTCCCTTCTGGCTGTGCCACGTGCCGGGAAAGCGCCAGCAGGTCCTACGGGACTAGACACAAGTTGGAGGCAAGAGCCGCAGGTGGAGCAGGGATGACTGGAGTCCCATCTTGCTTTTTGCTTGCAGTCACCTTGCTGTTCTCCCCTCCGGTTCTGGTAAACGGGGCTAACGAAGAAGAGGAGCAAATTGATGTCCCGGCAGCCAATTAGGATATTTCAGACGGGGTTTTTTTGCTGCATGCTTTGGAGGCAGGTCGGTGGCGGTTGCAGGTCCTGTTGTGGTGCCTTAACCTCCGGTTGTCGCTTTACTCCCCTCTCTGGCAGAGTCTCTCGGTGAAGTCCTGCAAGGTGTTCCGCATTTTCCGGCAGTGGGAGAGCATGAATTCCTCCTGAACGGGCCGCTGCCTCTGGGAACTGCTGCCTGGCTGGCGGCACAGGGCATCGCGTCGGTCCAGCAGAGATCTACTTCGCAGTCGCTCCCGTGACAGCTCCGTGCCCTGGGGAGGGGGATGCTGAGGAGGCTCCGTGCCAAACACAGCCCCCAGCGGCTGCTGGGACCCCCTCCTCCCTGACTGCCTTCCTTGAAGCACCCTGCCTTCACAAATGGCTGCTGTAGCCCTTTGCCCCGAGGGCTTCGACAGCCCCGTCTGGAGCCAGGACGTGCTGCGGGCGTGCGGGGTGAACAAGGAGACGTGGTCACCTCACGAGGGTGACCATCTTGTCCAGCTGTGACCTGCCATCAGCGGCGCAGGGAAGTGGTGCCAGGTGGGAATAAACATTTCAGTTTTGGTTTTTTTTTTTTTTCTTAACTGCTGGTGCGGTGCTTCTTCCTGGGGCGGTGTGAGCTCTGGACCTAGCACGTGGCTCCCGTATCCCTCGGGATGCTTGTCTTTGTGGGATCAGTGTCCGGCTGCCTCCCTCTCCTGTTTCCCACTCCTTGTTTCACTGTCTCCCGTGCCTGATGTGGGCTCTTTGCCACGGCCTCAGCCCCTGTACACGCAGAGGTGCCCCCAGCCTCGTACCCCAATGCCTGCCGGCGTCTGTCCCAGCAATCAGCTGCCCGAAGCAGATTTAGTTCAGGGCTGATAGCCTTCCCGGGGTGATAAATCACCCGGGCCAGAGTACAGGGGAGGCTGGGACGCAGCCAAAACCCTGGAAGAGGTGGGTTAGGGCTTCCCATGGCTCAGGGCCACACGGCTGTGCGCTGGGGGAGGGATTGGTCTCTGTGGAAGGGGGAGAAGAAGCCAAGAAAGGAGACCCTGATCTGTCATCTCCATCCTCAAGGATCTTGGGGAAGGGGCTTTAGGGAGGGCTCAGACTACACAGACAACCCAGACACAGTTGGACCTCCTCACCCCAGCTCTGCCGCAGCCGCACAGAGGTGGGTAAAGGCACAGGGACACGTCATTCCCTTTTTTTTTTTTTTTTTTTTTTTGAGCAGAGGAACCCCCTTTGGAGGAGGAGCCCCTGCCTCGGTTTCCCTAGCCCCAGCTCTGGGGTTTCTTCAGCATCTCATCTTGCCCCATCTGCCCCACCCCCTTTCGGGCATTTTCTGGCCCCCCCCTGCCTCGGAAAGCAGCGGCTGCCTTGGTCAGGGCTGATCCCCGTTCTCCCTGCACCCCAAAACTTGTGGGTGCACCTGCCTACCCCAGGGCTGCTTCTGGGAGACACCCTTTACCTGCCGGCTTCTTGGGTGGGTGCTGGCCAGAAGCCCCCTGGGGAGCAGCAGGGCTTGAGTTTGGGTGAGTCATCTTCCTTTTCTAAGAGGATCCTAATTGTGTGGCCCTAACGAGGAGCTGCTTCACCCCATGGCCATGCTGGGCTGGGAGTCGGGGTGGAGATGGGGGTGTCACCCCCCACATGCACCCTGGGGGCTGAGGGTGGGCTGGGCTCTACAGTGGGGCACGGAGGATCCCCTTCCCCAGCTGCCTGGACCCACAGATCTCCTTGTCCCCAACAGCCCCCCCCATGGTTTCCCCTGGCTCCCCTCATCCCCCACAGCTCTCCCCACTCCTTATAGCTCCCCACAGCTTGCTGTGGG